AAACCAAACACCAATATTGTTGTATTATCAACTGTGTAATAAAACCCAAAACCCAAAACCAATATTGTTGTATTATCAACTGTGTAATAAATCCCAAAACCAATATTGTTGTATTATCAAGTGTGTAATAAAACCAAACACCAATATTGTTGTATTATCAACTGTGTAATAAAACCCAAAACCAATATTGTTGTATTATCAACTGTGTAATAAAACCCAAAACCAATATTGTTGTATTATCAAGTGTGTAATAAAACCAAACACCAATATTGTTGTATTATCAACTGTGTAATAAAACCCAAAACCAATATTGTTGTATTATCAATCACATAATAATAGCATTTATCAACATTGTTCATTATACTATCAAGCGTGTGATATCCAACATCAACATAATGCATAATATAAATATGTATTAAATTCACTTCAGAAACAAAATCAATACAATATTTTGAATAATTTACTACAAAGCAGAAAAAAATAAAACATTTATTTACTGGATTTTGAAATTCAGCAGAAACATTTTTATTATCAGAGTAAACGATATATGATCATTCTTTTATACACACTTAATCAGCTGTACAGAACGTACCTCTTTAGCTTCTTTATAGCCATGGTCCAAGGTTCGGGTTCTTTCTGCACTCTTAGCCACAAGTCTTTCCCAACGATGCTGCACACTGATCAGGAGATTTTTTATTAGTATGACATCTTGCTTCTGACTAAAATATTTAAGGTGCGTTCCTTTCTTGTCCAAATTAAGCATCACCTCTCGGTGAGAACTAATATCCTTCTGAAATGTCTGAACAAAATCAAAAGATTAGGTTAAACAGGGGTCACTTCAAAAAGTAAAACTTTAACATTCACACACACTTATGTAAAAAAACACAAATTCTTTTGTTTGACAATAAACTTAAAAATTAAGATAAAATACCTTTTGCACAGAGAAGTCATTAATTAGTGGCTTCAGCTATAAACAGATGGCAAATACATTACATTCCTTACATAAAGGTTTGTATTTCTAATGTCAATCTACAATGAGCTGAAAAATTGTATACTTCTCTCACTGTGCATAACTGATAATACTCGTTTTATTTCCCCCTTTTCTATCTTCAGATGTAGAAACCCAAATGATAAAAACCCCATTTTTACCTTGTGCTCCTCCATCTGTTCTGTGATTATATTCATCACTCGGCTAACAGGATCAACACTGGATAAGTACTTCTCAGAGTTGCCTAACCACTCCACAAACTCCTGTAGTGCTTCATGAAACTCAGTGGCCTCACGCAGGGCTATCTCTAGCTTAATCTTAAAAAACAAATATATATATATATATATATATTATAGCCTCACACAGCTACTTCTTGCTTCATTTAAAAACATATATTTATATTACGCCCCCACGTGGCTATCTCTTGCTTAATCTAAAAACAAAACAGATATTTTTATTACGGCCTCATGCAGGGTTACCTTTTCCTTACTAAAAAAACAACAGGTATTTATAATATGTCTTTATGCAGTGATATCTAGCTTAATTTAAACAACAGGTATTTATAATATGGCTTCATGCAGGGATATCTAGCTTAATTTAAAAAACATGTATTTATAACATGGCTACATGCAGGGATATGTAGCTCAATTTAAAAAACAGGTATTAATAATATGGCTACATGCAGGGCTACCTTTTGCTTAATAAAAAACAACAGGTATTTATAATTTATAAATACCTGTTTTTTAAATTAAGCTAGATATCCCTGCATGTAGCCATTATGGCTTCATGCAGGGATATCTAGCTTAATTTAAAAAACAGGTATTTATAATATGGCTACATTCAGGGATATCTACCTTAATCTAAAACAATAGATACTTATATTACCTTACTTGGAAAGCAAAAAGTGTGTGAAAAAATCAAAATACGTCCATAATATTTATGTTTTTTTTCTAAATGTTATGTATAACAAAATTTTAAGGCCCAGTATCTGATTTAAGACTAAATTTTGGCCTCTTCACTTTAAATAACGTGTTTATTATTAAACACTTAGCCGAATTATGACCATAATATCAACTTCCTTTCTGAGAAGAGCCTGTATATATATGTCTCACCTTCCTGTCATTGGCTCTGTTGAGCACATTATCCCACCGCTGCTTGAGAGTTCGTAAGTTGTGTTGGAGATTTGTTGCAGATCCATCATTAGATCGCTCAAGGTAGTTCTGACCTTGCTGCAACACTGTTTCGATCTTGTAACGACTGTTGTCTAGGTCATTGTATAGTTCCTGAAAGATATCATAAAGTTCCTGTAAATTTTTTGTAAGTAACTAAATAACAAAATTTCATTAACACAGTAACAATGCATTTCAATCAAGTGGAGAAAAGACAAAAAATTTTTACTAAACACATTTAAATAAAAAGCAAAGTTTGGTCCAGTAGAGGAGAACTGAATATATTAGTGTTTGGTAATGAACCTTACATTATATAGCTGTTTTGTCAGCCATAACTTTTAATAAAATCACTTTCATCTAGACCAGAAATTCTCAACCTGGGGTACATTTGTACTTCTCAGGGGGTACATATGGATTTGAAAGTATAACCATGGTTTACACTTTATATGGTGTTTTAATCTACAGTCAGACAAAGTGGCTCACATAAATATACGCTCTTTAGACAAAAAAATTGTGATCATGTGAATGTTGTGATGTTATTGCTGTGCTACATTATAACTCATGTTTTCAATAAGTAATGCAGAAGATAAGCAATATAGAACACCCTCGTTACAAATCAGCTGTTAAACTAGGGATCAGCCAACTGGGCAAGCTCTCCTCCCTCCATTAGTCAAAATGCCCAAGTGGTACAGAGGAACAAAAAGGTTGGGAATCCCTGATCTAGACTCACATAGAAATGATTATTCACGTTTTCTATCTATTAACATCAGAAACACTTCCAACTAGCTGATGTTTTCACAAGAAACACTTCCAACTAAGTGATGTCTTCACAAGGAACACTTCCAACTAAGTGATGTTTTCACAAGGAACACTTCCAACTAAGTGATGTTTTCACAAGGAACACTTCCAACTAAGTGATGTTTTCACAAGGAACACTT